TTTATTTCGGTGGAAAATCACTTAAAACGTGGCCCAACTCATGTTGAACTCTCTCCTTTCCGATTTTTTTCCAGCTCATTCATTAGAAGGGAATATTTGCTGAAGAAATTTGTCGGGGATTTATGTTTGCATGAGAAACATGACGAGAACCGAGAAAGCCGAATACTGAACGTTTTGTTGATTCAAAATGACAGGAAACATGCCTATTTAATTCATACGATGTGTATCTCATGCATGTTACGCAAATTATTCAGGAGGAAACGCGCTATGATTCCCGGAAAACATCACAGAATGCAGAAGATATATTTTTCCACACCCAAGTTGAGATTCCGCAGAATTCTTTTTATTTTTTCACCTAGAGAGAACATTTTCCGCTATCCGGACGGTGAGACAAGTGTGAAGAACAAATATCTGTTTGAATATCAGGGATTCTTGAAACAAGAACGAAAAAAACACGTCACGTCGAAAATCTGCATAAATTTCATGGATGGAGAAGAGGGAAATTGTAGAATTGCTTCTATTCGATTCGGGAAAATGTGGGTGATGCTGCTTTCCAGTGACACAAAACGTGTGAAGCTTCCGTTCGACGGATGTAGAATTGTGTTGACGTTTTTTTCTTCTTTTTTTTAGAGAGCCAGGAATAATCGATCGTCGGAAAATTTGTCTGACCATTTCCGAGTACAGCAGTACTGTATCTTTTTTCGAAGATTTTCCAGTCACAATTTGCGATGGGCTGGACGAAGAGCAAATTCACGACTTCTGTCCACATCCACTTGTTGTAGTTTAACTTTTTGCTCATCTGCTTTTTGGGACGCATCCGTGCGTGAAAACCATAACAGAAATTGGTCCGTAGTCGCGGTCAACGAGAATTTTCGAATTCGTCTGCCAAGCTTTCTTACATGATGTATCTTTACTATCCTTGCCCCCCGTGTAGTTGTTTTTAGACACTGTATACAATTTCTATGTTCGGTCAGAACTCAGAATCTGGAAAATTGATTTATTTGAGTCCCAAACTTGCCAAGTGAGAATCCGACGAACCTCTGCGGAATCAATAGCTCGGCCTTGAAAGATTAACCTCAATAGGGCAACCCTCATACTTGGCATCACAATCCAGACTTCATTGACGCAAAAGTTTTGAAGATCATGAAATTATTCCATCGAAACTTTTTTGTCAGTTCATGAGGCATTTTCGGTCCGAAATATTTCGTAGAACTGGAAATGATGGCCTGCAAAGTCATGAAACATTTACTGTGGTGAGGGTAAACCTTATTTCGTCAGAATCATGTGAAGTTCTTTCAACTCTCCGTCTTTTCTCCGTTTCATCTACGGTGAACGAAAAGGGGATGATCGAATAATCCTTCGTTAAAAGCTTACAACTACCCCAAGATTCATCCAGATAGACTCGGGGGAAAAATATATATGCACGGGGGTGACAGAATTTCCCAATTGTTCCTCGTGATTGAAAGAAATTGAAACTTTTCAATCTGTTGCGAGTTTTTCTCCTCATAATAATTTCCGTATTATTGAATCAGTATTGTCAGTTTCTTCGGAGTTCTGATTCAAATTTGCCTGAACTTTTTTCTCGTGATGATGATGAATGACTTCGTGTTTTAAAAAAAATTGGAATGACGTGAAACGACGGTACGTCTGGGGATTTTCGAAGGAAATTGAAAATCGCTGCTGACGTGAAACAGTGACTTGTTCGTCTCACGTGAATCGACCGACGCCACATCGAAAAAATATCTACGTCAGTTCTTATGATACTGTGAAAGAAATTTTTCTGTGCGAAATCTCGACGAAAGCCAGGAAATCCGTCTGAACCTCGGAGTGGGAGCTTCCGGGGCCGTACATACCAAGGTCCCAAAGAATTGAAAGTCTTTGAACCGGCTGCAGACTTAATGAACGTTCAGAGATTCTTTCGGGTCGTCGGAGATCGCCAACGACGACTGGTTCCCACCAACAGGGCGGAAGGGAAACAGGGAACCCACCCATTCTTCCTCGCTGCTTTCGGAAGCAGGGAATCTTCCTTCTTCTGTTTTCCCTTCGACTCTACGAAGTGATTTTTTTTTCGTGCCATTTTGTTCTGCTTTTCTCTTGCCTCCATAGTTCGATAGGGGCTCTCTCCGGTCTGCAGGATGGAGCTTCGACTGAGTTTGTTTTGCTTTGAAGGCGGGATTGAATCCGAACCTCCCTGGGAAGCGCGCTGGGGCTTTTATCTGCAATTCTTTTTTTGAAAATATTTGTTTACTTTTCTGCTGAAGTCACAAATGAGGGATTCCAACTTGTATTGTTTTGCATTACATTTTTGGCGATGCTTCCTGGAACAAGCGTCGGAAATGATCGCCTTTGCGGGTTGCAAAGGAACGAATCTATTCGAATGTACCAGTTTTTGTTTATCCTCAATTATACTGTAACAGGGTTTTTGGGAGCAGTAGAAATCCGATCAAGTGTGCCCAAGTTTGGATTTGTCGAAAGGAGACCGAAGATGATTTTAAACCTAACCAGTCAAGTATCAAATTGGGGCAGCCCTATGTTCCACTGGTCCAAAAATTACTTGAGCTGACGCTTCCAAGATGTGTGTAAGCGCAAAAAATCAAGTCAAGAAATGGAAGTCTTTATTCGTTTCAAATATATTTTCAGAAGTTGCTCGATGATCTTTTGTGTTTTATTATGCGGGCGACGGCACCAGTAACCGCGATAATCAAAGTTCTACTGTACATATATCACTGTACAAGTACTTTTATTTGCACGGAAAGCTTTCGGTGGAGTTCAGTGCCCTGGGATTTCACACTTGTCGGACTAAAAGTAGAAAAGTAGGTGAACCAGCGCCGAGAGGTACCACACAAGATTTACGAGGCGAACCAGCCCCCATGGTACTGGTTTTCCAGACACGGGTATCCTAGTTCTGGTCTCTGGGGCACAGGTTTCCCTGACGCTAGGTTACTCAGGAAAAGAATGACGAACATTCTCAGGGCGTAAGAAAAATACCCAATAATGGTTAAATGAGTCAAGTTTGGGGGAATGCTGGGACTGCGAGAACACGAGGTTAAAATATTCGTGATTTCATAGTTACAGACTCCTTAAAAGATATCAAAATCCGTGTGAAAGATTCAAGCTGAACTATGTCGTTCAAACATTCTCCCACAATCTTCGTACAGTATTACTCGTAATCTTGTGGAAACAAAATCACTTCATCTCTGTGCTCTGAAGAAGTTTTTTTGCGTGTGCCAGATTCGTAAAAATGCCGGAGTTCTCCTCGCCAACAGATATTCGAGAAGCATTACGGAAAAAAAGCTTTTCCCCTTTCCGAAAAAGCTTTTTACTATTTTTTTCCCCTCGTCATACCGCAGAAAGCCAACGATAACATTTCGGTCTTGCTTCATAGACGCTGATGAGGCTCATCGTAGTGCTGTAATTTGCAAACATGCCGGCATATTTCAACTTGGATGAATGTAGTCGGATAGGATTTAGTTCATCATTATGTGAACAATGGTTTGAGGCTCGGAAAGCCAAAATACTGTACGTTGGTTTGCTTTATGCTTTCGAGATACTTTATATTGCATGAGGTCTGAAAAAGTATGGAACAGTTCTCGCATCACAAAACTCTCCCGCAACTTGAACTAGTCGCAGAAAATTCGTTTGCAATGAAAGTGTCATACTTGAGATATATTTTTGAAGTTTCAAATCGAGCGATGAAGTTCGCATGTCCGAAGGACTGTAACTGAAATTATTCACGTATTGTGCAGTGTCTTTCAAAAATCAGGTGATTTTTCGAAGTTTTTCCCAGCCTCTGGTTTTGAAATAAATTGTGGAGTGTACTAGAGTTTTGATGTTTTAAAGTATTTAAACCTTCGGCTCGAAAGGAGACCTTAGCACGTTCATATAAATGTTCTTCGAATTTTTGCGTTATCCCTCTTTAAAAAAAAAAAGATGGAAATCGGTTTTGGTTTCGGTGACCTTTTTCCATGCCTGGATGCAGTCCATCGCCTCTATAGTCCTCTAAAGCCTTGACGTGAAACGTCAGATTTTCTTGTTTGTCTCGGTCATCACTCATTGCTCGGGACATTCCTCGTTAACACGATCCTTCTGCCATGTACGCGAACCTTTTCATACATTTTTCCAACATCCAACATCCCGTCATTCTTTCTCCTCTGGAAAGATGCGAGCAGAAATATGAATCGTTAGCGTCACGCCGGATAAACGCGTGACTGCGACCTGAATAACGTCATTGTCGCCTATACACGAATTTCCGCTTCCTCGAGTATCACAGCGGGGTGTTGTCAAGTGTGTCCTAAAAGTTCTTTCGACCCGAGAGAAAGAAACAATGCGTTGCTGCAAAAGTCGAGGGAATCGCGACTCAGGCGCTAAAATGTGTGGGTTAGTGGTGTCTTCGTGGATCATGATGGATGTGACGACCGGTTGGTAACCTTATCCAGCGGCCGTTCGCTGTGTGTTTTCGTATTTTACGCCTTGCCATTCATCTGTCGCCTAACCTGTAACGCCAAGAAAACCCCTCTATTCCATAACTGAGGATGAAAAATGCGCATCAGCTATCTAGTCTTATCTGTGAATGAAAAATAGAAACCCCGCTGCCTTTTGAAAACTGTGCACAACCCATTTTTGGGCAGAGAAACATTTTGGACGCTGGCTGGGATCTTCTTCGCTTCCCGCCCGCTTTTTCATGCATTTGAATGGAGAATCGATGAAAAAGCTGCCGTTATGAGAGTATTTTTAGTCTCGCGGTTCCTTTCTCGGATTCTGTAGGAGTGAATTAAGATGGTTGTCATTTTTACAGAAAAGTATTTGATAATCTCCTGTCCACTATTCCAATTCTCGCACCCGTTGCGATTTCATGACGCTCTCCATTTTAAAAAGACAAAAAGATTCACTCGTCATACTCACAAGTTTTTTGAGAATAAAAAACTGGTAGCCACAAGCGGTATCGAATACTTAATGATAAATTCAACTTCCGTGGGTACTTCGTCTCCAATCTGACAGCAATGTCCCAACAACAAGGGTTAGAACCTCGCTTATATTGCCTGGTTTCGTCATGCCGAATGTGAATATTATCCTTAACTGTGGATTGTGGAGTTAGAATTCTCAAAAGTTACGATTGCAATAGGAAAACACAAACGTTTGATTTTTGTAATTATTGTCATACGTTTCCTAGGGGCTTGGAGGATTCTGACTTGGAAGCTATTTCAAGGCTATCAAGTTATCGAAATTTCAAGTTATCGAAAAAAAATCGAGCTATCAATGATGAGGCAATGCGAAATTATGAAGTGTTCTAAGAATTAGAAGACTTCTAATTTTTAGAATAAGATATCCGCAAGACGTCTTGCGGTTATTTTATTGTTTACAAATCGTCTGTTCTGGTTCTGGTGCATATATTTGACACCCACATCGAACTGCTATCATCTGAAGTTCCCATGCAATTCTATTGTATCTAGCATTTACTGCAAAAATACTGTGTCTCAAAAATTTGCAAGTTCAACAGATTTGATTGGAGCGGATTCCTGGCGTAATATTCCTTCCTCCTCGCGGACTAACTTCTCTTCAGTATCATCTTTCCCGTGTATGGTATTTTATTTTTTGTTAAAAAGTTAGAAAGTTTGTTTACTTTGATAATTTGTAGCAAACTTTAACACACAAAAAAGACCTCGGGTGTTACTGTATATGGTAAATTTCAGTTTTCTCGATCCACTGAGCTTCGGAAGCCGGGACACGCGTTTCTTTTTTTTTTCTTTCCCCGCTATTTTTCTCGGTGCATCCTCTCCGTGAATCGACGACCTTGTTCGTGAACAAGGATTCGCTTCAGCCGCGCAATTTTCTCATCCCTTTTGTTCTCTTCTTGCTGTTGTATGAATCGAACGGGATAATTGATGTCTGCAATCGACATGTTCCCTTCATTTTCCGCAGGACGGCTGCGTTCGTCGTGGTGAGCTTCGTTTACGCGAAGCTGCTGCTGGTGGCGTGCGTCGCGTTTCTGCTAGCGGAGGTTGCGGCGTACAAAATTCCTTTGTACTACTTCGAGGTGAGTACTGAACCCCGAATATGTCTCTACTTTTCACCTTCCTTTCTGTATTCCTCGTCTTGTTATCTGTTCTCGTCTTACTTTTCTTACTGTCTTACTGTTATCCGCCTTACGGTACCAGGAAGCGACGCATTCAGGCGCTTCCCGGAAGGCGTAAAGTTTGTTCCGGCGAAGTTGCAAATGCGGGTACATCTCCCTTGAATTTGAAAGTGCTTTGCTCTTGTTTATGTACATTTCTTTGTGGGATGACAAATTTTGCATAAACCGTGAAAATATTATAAAGACAATTCCCGGCTTTCTAATGTGGTAAAGAGTGTGGGTATACAGTACGGTAATTAAGATCAAATCACAACCATCGGTTCTAAGTTTGTAAGTTGAGATATTTTTAGTGTTGTATACTGTAATTTCTCCTATCTTCCTTCATACGATATTCATGAAAATTCAGAGCCGTTGAGGGTAATGTAAATTCGTCCACTTCATCGTTTGGTTTTGATTGCAACCGACTTTTAAAACCCAAGAATTAAATTATTGAGCATATCAAGAAGAGGATTTCGAATCAATTAACGTACGAGTTTTAAAAAATTTTCCAAGATGCCTCTGATATTTTAAAATGCTAAAATTACATCATGTTGTGTGACGTATTTTTTTTGGGTAGTGGGATGTTTTCTGGATTCAGTTTTCCAGCAAATTTTTCAGCATTCCACGCACTTCTGTTCAATGAAACGAAAGTGAGAATACGTTTTCTGATGGAGAATATTCATTTGATTCCAGGGCTTCTTTACTTACTTGTACGGAGTTAGCATTCTATTTCTGCTGTACGTATTCTGCTATCTCTTGCAAAATGGGACCAGATCGCGAGCAAAACGAAGCAGGAAAGTGGCTTCTGGCTCGAAGCTCAAAGTCAGCTTGTTCCAGGTGAGTGGACCGAAGCTTTAGTTCGCGTCATGCGGCCGACGGCTGCCAAGGTTTTTCTTTCTAGCCTTCACGATAAATTCTCGTCGGATTTCATCCGTGGCAAATGCATTCACGTCCGCTGCTCGTTTTTATTTTATTTTTTGCCTGGAAGTCTGACGATTTTTGCTTCAATTTCATTTCAAAAATATGAATACTAGGAAAATACGCACTGTCAAATTTTTTTTTCCGAAGAGAAAGCTGCATGTTCACCAAGAAGCACTATTGCAAAAAGTTTTCATATCCACGGTTTCTCTTCGCATTGCCAGCAGTCTCGACTTCATGGCTTCAATTATTCTTCGATTGCCGCATTTATTTTTTATTTACCCGGAAGTGCGATAATTCCTGCTGGTAAATTCATTCTTAGCCGTCAATGTGGAGAATTTCTGTCAAATGCATATTTAAGAAAAAAAATTTAATTTTATGGTCGCGGCACACAATTTTGTGAGAGATTGTCAAACTAGTTGGAGGCGATTTAAGGTTTTCCTGTGTCAAATGCTTCGTTGTAAGTTAATCAAGCCACGATGGTTGCGTTTTTTAAATGAAGAAATCAGTTGTTCGGAAGACGGAATAGTTTAGTTTGGCAAGCGCGAATGTAACAGCTACAGGATTCGGCTGTTCATATCGAGATGCGTCTCATTAATTGTTTAATGTAAACTCTGCTAAAATACTCGCTCATCTTCGTCACACAGGCTGGCCAAAGTGGAACTTACAATGTATCGCAGTATAACCAGGAAACCGAAGAGGTAAGACGCATAGATTCTTTTATACACCCTCCTCCGTAGATGTCTGTAGAGCATGTGACTGATACAATTGTCGCTGTAGAGCATTACATGACTTGCTATTGAACACCTGCACCGCTTCACGGTTTTACGCGATATGAAGGTTTTCTCCTTGTCTTTTTAATGGAAGGCGGTTCGGGAAATCCCCCGTTTCTTGTTTTTTTTTTTCAATGCCGATTTTGAAGGGACTAAGATTGGTTTTTGCAACGTGAATAGGTTGGACTTCAAAAGGGTCGCGCGGACGAGGAGCAAGGCGTCGCCAGTCAGTCCCAGCAGAAGATGACGGAGAGCCTGATTTCCACGGTCAAGCCTCTGAAGTTCAAGACCACCATCAACGATTCGACGCATGGGAGTTTCTTCTTGCGGATAGGAGCAATCGGTTTGTATTTTTTTCTCGAATATTGTCGAAAATTTGCGCAATATCGGCTATTGATGGCAATGCAAGAGATGTAAAAAAAAAGTTGTTTTCCGAATGAAATTAAAAAAAAAAAATGTTCTCAGCGTTTCTTCAAATCACAAATTTACGATTTGATTGTATTTTTATTTCGACTTTTTCTTCGCAGTTGCTTTAAAAAAATCAAAACTATTGCAACGACTAAATACAAATTTTTTCGTTTGCAAGCAATTGATGGATAGGTAGTAATAGGAGTAACGTGGCAAAAATCGGTTCCAGCGTGTCCACGCTTGGAATTATGCAACACTAAAATCACAAAGGGTTGTGTCGGTTATTAGGGGATAAACTGCTATCCCCAAGTTTTTTAAAACTCCCATCAAATATGACAGCAAAATTTGCGAATTGAAATTTTCTAGTGAAACCTTGAAGATGGGCCATGATCCTGACAGTTTTGAAGAAAGACTAAATCATCTAAAATTTCTGCATTACCTTAATATTCCTCGGAATGACCTAAAAAAAACATGGAAAATTGGATTCCCCACGAAAACCAGAAGCTTCTTGTACGTATGTGCTGATCTGGCAAAATCGATAAATCGCTGCCATGGATCCATTCTAAATTCAGCTTAGGTCCTTATTTTATTCAAATTGCTGCGCTCTAATAAGTCTTGATATTCATGAGAATCAATTCTTTTGCATGAATGGTCTCACATTTTAAAACATGAACTTCTTTTGGTACTTCCAATCAGTTTTCGGCCTGGGAACGCTGATATATTGTGGATTGGAGCTGGGAGCATTCTTCGAAGTGCCGTGGAATTCCCCATGTCATGAGCTGGTGAACGGACTCAACCCGGCTCTGCAAATGGCTTTTACATTTATGCAAATGTACTTCATATTCATGAACGCGAAGGTGAGTAATCCTGGAGAGATGGTTGACTTTTCTGTCCTCTCAAGTGACGGTTTTATTGCATGGCACACACTGTCCGGTGCATAAAGTCTGCGGCGAGGTGGAGGAAAAGTGTGGGCTTTTTTAAGCGTACTCTATTCTCTTGTAGCTCTATACACATCAAGGTATAAAATTGAAAAAAAAATACGCTGACGTAATTTTTATTCGACCTTCCGAGTTTTTCTTTATTGTAATATTTAGTTTTATAGCTCTGTACTCCGGAGACTGTTGTTCTGCACAAGGTATCCTCCATTTTTGTTGCAGTTGAATATACATAAATTCAAAGTCGTTGCCCGCTTCGGCCTCATGCACGTTATCGCAACGAATATCTGCGTTTGGCTTCGGACGATTGTTCGCGAGGGACTCAAGGATTTCACGAAATACTACGTGGATAACTACAACGGGCCATCGGAGGACCATTTGATCATGTGTGAGTACGACGTGCACCATATGGAGTTACATTTTCCTTATTTAGGATGAGATATACGAGGGTTGTCCCGCTTGGGCGAGACCTTGGTTATTTCTAGAGCAGGTATGACAGTGAAAAAAAATTATGATATAGCCCATTAAAAATTTTATATTCTGTGATTTTTTTCGCATTTCTAAAAACATTGCACAAAATATACAGTACTGCATGATGGTAAGTTAAAACTTTCCACGTACGGTCGGAGGTCTCCACCCATGTCACTATGTTGGAGATGGAAATTTGTCAGATCAGCTGAAAATTGAACTTTCCCTGTTTATTTTACCGACTATTTAAAATATAGAAGAGATCAGGCTTAAAACAACTACAAAAGTGTTATTTTCTAGCTGATCTGAAAATTTTTCAACACCCTGTGACATGAGGTGACAACTCTGGCCGTTACTGGAAAGTTTTCGTTTATCATCAAGCAGTATGTTTTAAAAACACTTCTATATCCGAAAAAATTCGTGAACCTTACAACTTGATGCGCTACAGTACATCATAATTTTTTTTTTCAAGTCATGCCCACTCTAGAAATAACCAAGGTCGCGCCTGAGTGGGACAACCATCGCACATGGCGACAATACGGAGTGATTTTGTTTTCGGAAAAGGAGAAAAATACTAATTTCCCGTTGATTTTTTCTTGCAGCCAGTGGAAATGTCACATTGGAAGAAATGATGGAGAAGAATTTGACCTGTGAGCGGGTGCCTATCATGGGGTCCATCAGGAATGACGCTGCTCCTTACTTGTACCCGATCGTGGTGGAATACAGCTTGATCGCAGCTGTTGTGTTGTTCGTCATGTGGCTGCATATCGGCCGTAATCCTCGGTAAAAAAAAAAAGAAATGTACAAAATTTTCATTCTAAAACAGTACTTGCGTATTATTCTTCGAAACTGAGCATTTTGATGACGATTTTCTCCTTTCAGGTACATATCCGAGGATGAGATAACAGCGCCTGGTATGGACACGAGTTTCATTTCGACTGCTACAACTTCTACAACGAAAGTTGATTGCGTTGGAGCGAGCAAAGGACTCTTCTTCGGGCTGTTGTTCCTGATTTGCTCCATGATAGCTACTATTCTGTTTTTCATCCTCATCGAGAACGAAAAATTCCACCAGTACGCCATATACTTGGCGGATTGCGCTCATTCTGGGTTACTGCTGTTCTCCCTGCTTGCTGTGCTAATCGGGTTCTGTCGGTAAGTTATTTGGACCTTGAAGATGATCTTATTTCTATTCGAAGAATCAAGCTCCGGCCGATTCGGGATTTTTTTTTGGGAAAACTCGTGCACAGGTTGAGGAAAATGTCGAAATTCGTATAACGTGAAAGATCTTTAAAAAAACAGGATTTCCCAAATCAAGTCGAACTTCAGTGTTCATGCACTCTTCCGTGAACAAAGCTTGAATTCGTTGTACGCCTTACCAACAGAGCAGCTTTGCTGTGGAGAATTGTGAGATCGATTTTTGCATGCATTTTTGAAATGCGACAATAAGCCACGCATTATTTTGACCAGCTTGGCCGAAAAGTTTTTTGTATTGTTTCTATGGGAACATTCGCTTTTTCGATTATTTACTTTTATGCAGTACCTTTCCGGAAATTTCAAGGTCGTACGAAAAATTCAGGGGGAAAAATCGGCTGTAGTGCGTGCACTGATTGGTTTTAAGGAAGCCGGAATGAAAGAGTAGCCAAGCATATTTTTTCATTCACTCCCTCAGAGAAGTTGGAATTTCCAGTCGTTCCACGCGATACGCATGAGCTGAACCAATCGTTTTCTATGATGCGAAAAAGCGTTCTGCTGAAGATATACGTAAGCCCCTAGAACTTTCCCAACTGCCATGGAAGTGTATCATCTCTTTGACTGTGATATGCTTTTTCAATCGCAAACTGATGACCAAATCCGCTTTTTCTTTTTTTTTTTTTTAGCGTGAAGAAGCTCAAATTCAATGCAGAACGAGAGGACTTGCTGAACGCTTTGTGCCTCAGAATTTCAGCATTCGGTGTTCTGCTCTACGCAACTTTCACGACGATTGCTGGCGCTGTCAAGTTTTTGAATCCAGAACTCGACATCCCGTGTTTACTGGTTTTGATCACGGGTGCTTTGACCATTTTCGAGGTTTGTCGAATGGCGTATTTTTTTGGATACTGTATATTCTGCGAATGAGTCAACTCTGTTAATAATATATGTGGCTTTAGGTGGCACTACAAGTTCTGTTCGTATCCGACGCTTCGAAAAGATCAATTCATAGGCCAGAACTGAACCCAACGAGACCCGGACGACAACTGGTGACAATTCTTCTGTTGACAAACATCACAATGTATGGCATTTACACGTTTGAGGCGCAGAAGGTCGATCGTTTGCCGGTTCAGGTGCGTTTAATTCATCAATTTCAATGGTCAATTTCTCAAGTATGACATCATCTTTTCAACGGTTTGATGCAATCATGTTCGAATCAAAAATTTTCTGAAGTGCATCCAATTCTTTTTCAAATGATTCCAATTGCATGAATGTGTTTGCATTGACCAGAACAGGTCGCGAGCAAAAAATTTCAGAAATAAACTGAGGAAACAGTTGATTTGTCTTATTGAGATTTAGTGCTAATTACTGGAATCGGAAGTTTTTCTGGTTATGAGCACTTCTGAATGGCTCGCGTGCTGTCATGCAGCGAGGGAAAAATTCAATACTGTACCTGTATTTCAAATGTGTCATAAAAATGTTTGTCAAAATTGTTCACCGACTTGATGGATTCCTGTAAAAAATATAATTATTTTGGTTTTGAAAAAATCCAGCTTCCTTTTATACCAAATAACTCGTCCTTGGTGGCAAAAAATATCCTGTGTAATTGCTCAAACCGTTGCTGCATATGAGGTCTTGTGGATAAAATTAATGCTATTTCTTTGAAAACTCTACTGCCGTGGTTTTCATGGATGTTGTTTTCGTTCTTTTTTCGTCATCATATCTTATTTATATATTCAGTTCGACAATATACCATACCGAATACTGTATTGTAAGGATGTCTGTCCGTCAGCGCGTATAGGATAATTCCCGATATATCCCATTAATTTAAATATAATCGTTAATAGTCGATTTTGGAGCCTATGATGAGGTTGTTTGATGTTCAAGAGGACTCTTTGTTCTTCCAGGTACATTTTTACGGATCTCTGCCGTGGGCTGTCTTGGTGAAGATCACATTGCCCTTGTGTATCTTTCACCGGTTCCACGCATCAGTCATGCTGGCTGACATTTGGAAGAACGGTTACAGGCCGAAAGCGGATTAAACATCATGTCAACTGGCTATGCAGCTATGTTTGAGAATGTGCTCCAAGCATTCGAAAGAATTTGCAAGAACGGCATTTTGCGGCTCGATGGGAAATCGCAGCGGGAGATAAAAAAAATATCACGAGCATGGTCAAAAGCTTGTTCCGTTGAAAGAATCATTGTTTTGATTCGGCATTGATCCACTCATCATTGATGAATTTATTTCATTATTGAGTATCCTTTCTGTTCAGTGTATTTTTTTCTAACCCAGTGCTGGACTAGCTAACACCATTCCTAATTTTTATTTCGCAATAGCAAATGACTGTATGTGTAACGACCGTTAACGGGAATAATTCAGTCATTCTGAAGGTCAGAGGTTCAGGATTTTTGACTCAAATTTAAAGACTGTTCCATTGTCAATACTTGTGTAGTCAGTCTTCTGTGATCTGCTTAATTTGTGAGGTTATACAAGGTTGAGTGTTGCTGACACGGTGCGTATTTTTTTGTTTGTTTTTGTTTCAAGAACGGATTGTTTGCTTCATTTTAAATTCTTTAGCAACCCTTTACCAAGTGTTCCCGTAAATGTGAAACATAATTAGGCTTCGTAATGAAGACAATTTTTTTCATCAATTCGGCAAGCATTCCGTGAATATTTGGAAAGATGCGAATAGCTTTTTGCTTTAAACTCTCACAAAGACGATGTTTTTTTGTTGATGACATTGTTTTCGTTGTGGGTTCGGCTTGCAGATGAGCAGCATTTCTTACTTAATGTGCCACGAGTGTGTCACTTGAGGCCAAAGTTTTGATACAGCTGGAAAAAGGAAAGATGACTTCAAGTGTTCTACAATAAGTACAAAGCGCCCACTTTTTCGTATTAGCTCATATCCCTTGCGAGCCGATTTTCGGCGAAGCTTTTGGGGAAAGAAGAAATGGAAATAGCAGCAGATAGTCAACGAAGTATTTTTTCATTTCTGAGTAGCAACTGTAGGAGCAAATACCCAGCAACTTTTATCGGTCATCTGAGAATGAAAAGAAAAAGATGAAGCTACGTATTTGACGGTCGATCGATTTTGAAACCTGTGACCCGATCCCAACTTTACTTAATTTTTCCCGGCGTTAATCGCGGTCAATTTCATCGACGCAGTCGTTCATTGACCCGAAACCTCATTGAGAAAGGTTTCTATGGCATTGTCAACGTACATGGGCTGGGAATAAGTGATGTGAAAGCCAGGCAATTTTGGCCAGAATATCAACTTTAACTGATGAAGACCACCATGAATTCGTTGTTGGGACTCATGGTGCAGCAATGAGATCGACTCGTAGATGCTAAGGAAAAATATCTCACAGCGGGTTGCAAGCCAACACATTTCGACACTGCCATTGTCAGGACGGAAGGAAAAAAAATACTCTTGTTCGCTCCTGAAGATTTTTCAATCGTCAATTTGCATCGCGACTACTTTCAAGTGCTTTTATATTCATCCTCGCTACTCGAAACGGCCGAATTGCGAAGAATACCGACGATGTATAACTCGTTTTCTGATTGACAAAAACGCGTAGAAAGAAAGTGATGGATTGGCGCTCTGGAATCCTGCTCAGAAATCGAGGTTTTTTTGCTCATGCGCTGAACGGCGGAATTTTTAAACCAGTAGAGATTATAAGCGTGTTTTTAAGCCGTAAAGTTAGTGAGCTAGATGGAACTTGTTAGACGATTCGTACATTGATTTGATGCCCCGTTGCATTATCGTCTGTCTCATCTCCGTGTGCTCGCGAAATTAGCTCGGGAAAGCTCGGATCAGGAAGAAAGCGAAGATTTTGCTCATGGGCCTTCATTTTGTAATCATCCTGCGAATGCGTTATTCTGACGACCCTTTTCATGCTGCTTTTGATGTCGGAAACTGTTTTTGTCGGTGTTTGCATGTGACGAGCTTATAGAGGTCAGCTGTCGCTGTTGGAAGCTTTGCGATTCCGGAAAATGAAAATCAATCTCGGGATTTTGTTACCCGTTTTTTCTTTTCGAGTGAGTGCTGCGTGTTATGTTTATCCTTGCTGTCGAATAGACGGGATTTCTAGTCAATGCGTTTCATTCGCTCTTTTCCACTACTACTTGGGTGCATGGCGATCAAGCTTTTGCGTGCTTTCCCTCGTTTATGTAGGAAACACTGGGTCACCATTGTATTCCACAATCTGCAATCATCATTGCATACAGTATTCAGCTCTCAACTGTATTCTGCAGGTATGGAGGAGAAAATTGCCATGCTAAATTGCTGATTTTCTTGGCGTTTATCAAAAACGTGAAAATCAATTGTTTACCTACTTGAGATCAACTTGAAACCTATACCTCATTGTCCTTGCTTTTTATGGTCAATTATCTGGGTTTTTCGGTATTTGAACAATCTTCAGGATATTCGAATGTATTATTGAATGTAAGAACGAATAGATATAACGGTTAAATGTAAGTGAAATAAATTCTATTGATACATGTGGATACATTTTGTAATGTGGACTCTTTTTAGAACAAAATCCAAGGGACCAGGAAAAATTCGTAGAAGAGAGGATTTCGTTGTAGAGAACACGTGGAACATTCGGAGATGACCCGGTGGGACCAAAGAAAAATTCCTTACAGAGAGGAAATCGTTGTTGAGAGTCCACCTGTGTACATCTCTCGAAACTATACTGCAGTCCGCTGATTCCTGATTTGTTGTTCATTTAGAGCATTACAATAGAGATATGACAGACATTTTTTTTATCTCATTGACCTTGGTGGATGCTTTATTCGTGATTGCATCTTATTTCTGAGGAATGTACTGTAAAGGAGATTTATGCTTTATACTAGATCGTGTCCTAGCTCACTAGTAGAGTGGAAGGATCAAGTGGCATTATTCTGGAGTTTTCAACGGATAAAATCAATAAAGATCATCTCATTTTTGTTTGTAGCAAATGGTTTGCAACAGTTTTGTATAGAATTTTAATTTTGCATCGCAGCTGATGTGGTTCATCCATCAATTTCTGAGACGTGAAGGAAGGAAAAAATGCACGAGGAAACCAAAAAACTCTTGTTCATCACGATTCACGAATAACCGCGAGATAACCGTTTTTTTCCATCAAAACAAAATTATTCTGTCTATTAGAAAGGTTTCTCAGAATAAGAAATTAAAATAGTTTATTTCGTCAGGTGAAAATTTTTCTGAAGTGTTTCTAGGAGAATAAACCAACCATTTAATTTCCATGAGATAAATGCCACTATCTTTCCGAAATTTCAGATGAAGATACTGTAGTTTGTAACCTCCGTCATTGCTACTTTTTATGCGCCTTTTCTTATTCTGCTGAAGAAAATTTCCCGCGGACCGGCAAAAAGCTTCTGCGGACCTGCGTCGGCCCGCGGACCACTGCTCTACAGCATACGCTAACCTTGGTACCATGAACTTCAAGTACTGCGCATAATTTCCCCGAAATGTCGTATCATTATTCGCTGAGCAGTTTTTCGTCGCGCATGCACTCGCCTCCAAATATGAATCCGTACATAACGAAACCGTTGGGAAATCCGTGGAAAATTACCACCCTCCCGTTTACCTTAGTGCAGTCCATCCAGTGGCATGCATTCACGCGACGCTTTCGTTGGGAACAGGAGCGATTTTTTGGATCCCTATGCTGTGAAAGCTGCAATCACGAACCCCGCATGTGGTACGGGGGTTTGCGTCGACCTCAACCCTCGCGCGCCCCGTCGTCCGAAATTGTCCCCGTGGTTGATGGAAGCCCCCGATACGGAAGTAGCTTGTCAAGGCCAGCACGTGCGAGGAAGGGCAAAAATAAAATTAATAAAAAGTGTGGCAAGCTTATTATATTTTTCGCCAATTTAAATATTGACTTATTGTCACTTGTTCGATTTTTGAGCGTGCTTTTTTGAATTGGTTCCCGGATTCTAAAGCATGCGGCGCTGATTTTATTAGTTGATGATCTTCATCATTACCGAGAGAGAATCCTATTTCCAATAAGTTAATTGACCGATTACAATATTTTAAAGATCGGCTGCTTGATTCCTAACCCCCCCCCCCCCCCTCCCTCAAACAAGACCTATAATTTCGCAATGCGTATATAGCTACAGTAAATTAAAATACTAATATCCTTTCTCCGGAGAAAATCTTTGGATAATTCTTAAATAAATCGTTTAAAAAATGAATTCTTGTAAAATAGGAGAAAATGGCATCGAAAAATTCGGGAAAAGGGGAACCATGCTCAGCAAATTTAATAATATTTGAAAGAAACACCGCCGTAATCCACCTGAAAAATTCTGCTGGTTTAGCCAAATTACCGACAGCCTCTTCGGTACTTTTAAAATGTTGATCACTACGTAATTCATCCATTATCCAAATCAGGGATAGCTATTTCCAATAACATTACTGAATTTATTTCAGCATAAGTTCATTGTGCTGAAAATCCTATTCTGCTAAGTACCTGTCGATTTTACTGGTGTATTCTGCAAACTTGCGCAGAAACCTTGGACATCGGCACGTCCAGCAGAGGAGGTGGGGTCTCAATCAAGTACTGCACAGTACAGTATCTCAGTGATATTGTCTGTTCAGAAAGGACGAAACGACTTAAGGTAACATTTTTATAGTGTTCAAGCACTTTCTCCACAACAAAAAACTCTCAAAATTTGGTCCGTCGTTCCAGAAGTTTAAAAATTTAATTGCCTGCATGTCCCAGAGCAAATTTGATGGTGATTAAATCCAGCGATCCTCATCATGCCTGGCGTTAGGAATTTTGATTAAAAATTGAACGTCTGTCGACTTTGATCGTTAAGTCGGTTTTAAAAAGTACTTGTCACTTGCAATTTTCAAACGTAATTATGAGTGTAATTATGGCCAAATTAAAAATCCCAAAAATTATGATCGTGTAATAAAAAAAGAGCGAAGCGTTACTAAAAATATTTTATTTTCATTCAACATCACACATTTTGCGGCCTCTGCGAAATTCGTTTTTTTTCACGGAGCAAGCTATTAAAGCTGTGAATTTGCAAGTCTCTAGAAATCCATCTTGAAATATTCATGCGAGAAACAAAATGATATTCAATCATCCTCAAACAGAAAGGAACACCAAATGATGCACGCGGAGAAATTTCACATCCTACATATAATTGAAGCGCAATTATTCAGCCTTTAAAATGAACCAAGCTTTCGAATATCCGTGCTTCAAGTTTCAAGGCGCAAAATTGTCTTTCCTTAAATTGCAATTCGTCAGATCAACATGATGAGCAACAGTTTATTATCTAAAAATATAAACGATACATTTACGAAAGAAATATACTGAATATTCACAAATAAAACGCACTTCTCTCCGATATTTGCGAAAATGTAAGTAAAATCGTGCCAGGAAATTTCAATTTTTTTCGTTTTAATACTTTGTTTTAAAATTATGTGATGAATAATTTTCCGAAGAAAGTAATTATTGTTGACTACTATGCTTTTAGCCAGGATAAGTGACGAGGTTCAACTTCCAAACAAAACGCACACCAACGAAACTTTAATTCATCATTTGCATAATATTCTAAAATCTCTTATGCTCAGTAGTTGTCGGGGTAGAAGCATCCGGTATTTAGTCTGGACACAAGCAAGGTTCTCATACCAATAAAATTATACCCTGACACACAACAGGAAGTATATAGAAAAAATAAAACATGAGTATTGCATCATTTGAGAAACCATCATGACCTCGGTTCTACCCAGAGCTTCATGGATGAAGCAATTCATCTTACCAGCGTGCATGCAAATCGCTGTTTATAGCCCATGACGTGGAAATCGCCCTCATCGCACACAGGAAATCGATGAGCACCTTCGTGTGAGGGCCACATGCATTGTTGACTATTTCATCCCGAAAGCAAAAGCAATAAATCGCGACTAAACGCCTGGGGCCGAAATCATCGAACAAACGCCACATACGTGCGTATTGAACGGATGAACGGGGGGTTTTCGGCTGAGGTACTGTACCTCATCGGAGAAAGAGAGGGAAATGAAGAAAGCGTTTTTCTTTGGGCTCTTTTGAGCATAGTAAAGTACAACAACAACAACAATAACAAAAAAAGCAGTCGACAGTTTGAAAGTAGTCGGCGATGATGGTTCGTATACGAGATTATAGGATCCCGAACTCGTCGATGTCTTCGGTGCTTTCACTGGCGTTTTCAGTCGCGTTATTCCCATCAAAAACCGCGTTTTCGAGAATGCTGAGTTTCATGGGTTCTTCAGCCTGGGCTTCTTCCACGAATTGGAGTGGTGGCAGAAGTAATCGGTCTGCGATGCTGTACAGTGTGTCCAGATCCTGAAATGTTTGTTATTTCCGTCAACGAGCTTGTTCGATAGGTTTCAACGTGATCCGATGCTAACGTTTACTGATCAGAGAGAGTCGAAATGTTGTACAGTATTTGAAATGGGAAGCGTAATCCGTATGGTGCATAGTTAATGGTATCTCATAATTTCTCCCCGATATAATTCTCCGTCAGTTTTTTTACATTTAATTTTCAAAATCTTTATAATCTTTTCAAACCTTTTATTGTTTCTATTGCTCCAATGCTGGTTTGGAATCAAGAGAAATTTATTAGGAAATTGTTTGCTTTCCAGATCGTTGTCATAAACCAATAAGACGCACACAACAGTAAGATCAAAAAGGTTCTTACATGGTCAAAGAAAGACAATACCCTTGTAATACTTTGCACTCTAATAATATTCGACGTGTAACAAGGCAGAAAGGATTAAGATAAAATTTAGGAATCTTTTCTTGCTTTCATTGATTTTTTCAGTCAAATAACTCAACATACATTAAAAAAAGGATAAGCTGTTGTGTTTTTTTTTGTGCCCAAACAGCGGCCATGGGACTGAGTTAATGTGAATGCTGTAATTAGCGGCCGAAGAATCGGAATCTTCCTCGTCGACATTTCGGAAAACGAATTCTTTAACCATGCGACAAGGCGATCTTAAGATAGCATTGAACTATCATTGGAGACAATATAAATTCTGCGTTTTACGATATGAACGATACGAATATGATTTAAAAGGTGCGCAAAGCTGATGAATGAATCCTAGCCTGCTCGTTTTTTTGTTTCTCAGAAGAGGTGGAAAAAATCATTGAAGTCTGTTCATTGGAACAACAAAAATTTATAAGCCTGAAATCATTGTTTTTTCGATAAGACAGCCAAATCTGCTCATCAGGTTATTGCTATTCTGTGTTTAGTTCTCTTCTTGTCCACCCTGTACGAGCATTTTTTAAATCTTACGAACAGTCAAATGCAACGAGTAGAAAACATTTATCGTGGCGTCTTGAACGAATGTGCATAGAAAAAAACCTTTCTAAATGCACACGGATTCGATCGAATCGTACCTGAATGGAATCAAGTCTATCACGAAGATCTTCGGATTCATCTTGGGTCTTTGTTGTCCTCAGAATATCCGCAACATTGATTTCTTGCGTTTTACGTGGTATTTTAGGGTCCCCGCAATTATTTCCTTCTGAGGACGGGAATGTTTCACTTGGCTTTTCGTCACACTGGGCTTTATGCAACGCTGACAGGATTTTCTTCTGAATCACTGGACAATCCTCTGGGCATCTGCATCTGCAGCTGGGCACTGAGTCAAGGAAATCAGAATGTTTATACAGACTCTACACTCGAACATGTAATGCATCATCAACAAATTCGACCGAAGTTTCATGTTAACACTCTCAAGATGACGTAATTCAGAGGATATGGCTTCGAATGATGCAAGCTTGCCGTTTCGGGCGGATTTGTATATGTTGCGTATCACCGTTCGTTATCTCACAAATACTCATTCAGTACTGTACTGTATAGGCAAAATAATTATCCTGCAACGAAAAAATGAAGAGAATGGAACTGTAATTATTACCACGAAGCTACAATTCTTCATTGTCACGTTTGCCACCTGCGACTTGGCTTTTTGACCACCTTAAAGAATTTATTTTAGCTATTTACTTGTCTCAGTTATTTCCAAGCATCGTGAGTAAGAAGAACAGCTGTGCAAGCTTTAAATTAATCGGCTTGTTTCCACCAACAAAATAATTTACTGCACGTGAAAACAATATCGAACCAATCTTCGCGCATTTTATAAAATGTCCGTGAGTTTGACTTATTCTGGAGATGAAGGCTGAAAATTGATTTTGAAAAAGGGTATACGGCAGAGTAGTGCGTTGCACCCGTGATTTAACCACTAAACATTACCTTGAAAATTAATTAAAAATAATATTAATTATGGTTTGTTGTCACAAAAAAAAAAATTGGTACTGTATTCATCATCACAGATGCGTCAGCAGATTTTGGATCTCTTTCGAAGAATTCGCCCTGGGTAATGTTTAAAGGTAACAGTTCACGTTTTTTTGGGCATACTATTCTCCTGTGTTCGGTCTTCGAAACATACGTGGCCGAAGTCCCGCGCTTTTTCTCATCAAGATAATTTCAAAGTTATGTGGGGGCCAAGTAAGTACAGTACTGGTAACCAATGGCATGACCATTCCTTCCGAGAATTACAATCTACCAATTTCCGAGAAAAAAAAACTCAACTTTGCATATCACCAAGACCGAAATCAGATGATTGAGATGGGGCTCGTTTTTGGCGAGAAGTCCCGGTTCTCGGTCGTAGCCGGCTATCGATGGCAGAAATCTTCCGCGAAAATCCTGACGCGATCGCACTGCTGCTGGCGAGCACGCTGAGTTTAGCTTTCGGTGGAGGGGGTAACTGATGATTTAAAAAAAACGAATAAATAAAAACGAGATATCGAGTAATCAGCCTCGGAATCAATCACGTGCAGTAAATTCCAAAAATCTAGAATCATTCGGATTCCATCAGGAAACCGAGGAAGAATACATTCAAGAGAAATACAATGAATTCATGGGCATTTATTAGTTGCTCTCATGGCGAAAGGTATCATTTAAGTTATCTATTCAGCAATTTTCAGAGGAAACAATTATCCGTTATACCGAGAAAATTCTTGCAAAGCGGCTGCTGATAAATTCTACCAGGACTCATTGCAAATTAGTAGGACGGAGAATAAATATCAATTCAATAGAAATTGTGGCAGGGAAATGGTTTTTGTACGATGATTTAAACTCTAAGAAGCCTGAACGATGAAGCTTCTATACACAAATTGAAGCGCTAGCAGAAAATTGAATTTTTTTCATGTCTAGAAACCCAAGTTTAATTTCTAATATTTTAATCGACGGAGAGGTAAGTCAAAAAGTATGAAAAATTCAGATCTGCAGTAAAATACGATGAAGCGCTCCGTTTTAGAACTGTGTGCGGAAATGAAGCAGTTCAGTACTGTATCATTTGGGCCCCCCTTCAAAAGTTTGTTTTACTCCTGATAAAAAATAATATTCCTTTTCAACTCTTTGATCTGTAACGTAATTGAAAATCGTCCATATTTTTACCGCGCACAAAAAAAAACAAAAAAACAACCAGAAGTACATGCACTTCCTCATTCGCGGACTTGAATCACACGATATCATGCTTTCGTTTGAGTACCTCGTGCCCAATTTACTTTTCCACTGGGTGAAAAGATACCATTTCAGATAGAGTATCACAAAGTTCACCTTTTTTGCGACGTCCTCGTCGGGACCCAGGCACAGATATTGCTTCAGCTGTTGAGGAACCATGTCCTCGGCACTTTGGAATTTCCTTCCTGGGGTTTCTTCGTCATTCGGCGACTGCGGTTTCTTCGAAAGCTTGACTTTTCTGTCCTGCTCCTCCTTTTCTCGGTCTTTGATCCGTCTGTAAAGGTTATTTTTTGCTCACGAATTCAAGAAATGGTAATAAATTCAAACCCTGTCACGCCCCCCAATAATAAGCCGCCACCTTCGGCAACCGCCAATTTATTTCGCAAAACTATTTTTCTTGATGATAACAGTAAAAGGAACTCCGTCAAAATGCCATCCGCCAAAATTATTGGCAACTCGAAGGTGATCCCATCTATTATTTTTTAGTTGATACACCTCGCCAAATGTAAAGAGGTCTTCGATTAAAAATTAGAAACACAGCACGCAGAGGAAGATGCCATTATATTGTAATTTATTTCTTAGGAACATGATCTGGATATACTTACGAAAACAAGGATAATTTTGATTGTTTTCTAAAAGAATAAGAACTTTTTTCCGTATCATACTCCACTTTGATATTATTTTGGCTTTTTCGATAAATTCTCAACCCGGGAAATCGCCAGAAACCTTAAAAAAAAACAAATGATGGTGGCGGCTTAATTGTTGAGTTTTGACTGTGAATATGGAAATAAATCGCGATGTTCACTACAATTATTTTATACTTGGACTTCTTCGCTCATTTGATTCACGTTTATTTTCACGGTACAGTAATTCGAAAGGATATCACTAACTTTTCGATCAGCATTCTGCGCTCTTCTTCCAGCCGAACAGATAGCAGTTCGCGGTAGGCTTTGTCGTTCAAGCGAGCGATGTCGCTTCCAATCAGGCTCATGAGGCGCAATCGAACCGCTTTGCTCTGGGGTCTGTTATTGGGGAATAAAGTATTGAATTACAATTTTTGGAAGAGAAATGCAATTTTCTTCATAAGCTGAAAAGCTGAACTATACTTGGAGGCGGAATAAAATGAAAACGCGGGAAAAAATCGGCGAGAAGCTTTCTTTTCTCACGGCAGCTAAATAAAAGAAGCTCTCAATGAGGAACGTTCGAGGAATTGCGCGATGTAGAAACCTGATGAACTTAGTTACACTTACGCCTAGAATTGATGAAATATGCATACTCAGTCATGAAACATGCTAAAAGAATAGTACTGTATAACAAAAATGTCCAAAAACGTATTGCATCCTACACAGAATACATAATACCGATTCAACGTTTCAAGATCTCAGAGAGTGTCCTTCAGTTGTTCTGATAGCTTGCTAATTTTATGCCGCTAATTATGTAACCTAATCTCAGTTCCTCGCGCTGATTTTAAAAATATGCTATGCGTTTTTACATTTTCGATTACAGTATTTGAAAGCAAAAGCAGACAACAGGTCATTATATAACCTGGCACCTGGATGATCCTGTTACTCATGTAATTATTCTGATCGTAGAAAAGAAATAAATTCGGCGAACTTGGAACACATATCAAAAATGCAATCTGTCTTCAGCTGTTTCCGGAATACCGAATTAGGCTCATTTGGAATGGTCTGGCTTCTTTATATTAAATAAACGCACTACACACACACACACAGACACCGAACTGTCTCTCTATATATCTCTTTCGAGAAAATGAAATTATTCGTGCGTAAACTTTTTTCCACGAGCACGCAGAGCAAATTTTAAAATATAAGGTTAGTTTACCATCGAAACAAAAGCACGAAACCTCAGAAAGAACGTTTCGTGGCCCAGAGATGGACCCAAACTGAAGCCCGGGCCCATAGTTTCGGTGAGATTTCCAGACCACGGGTGCGTGAGACTCAGCTGTGGTTGCGGGCAGCGAGGGGTCTCAAAGCCTCACTTCGTACCCTGTTATGGGTTTTCTGCATTCCCCCTATAAGAGGGGAATATCTGATTGGGGAGGAGGAATGGAGAGTTGAAGAAAGGCCTGGTCAGCAGGAGGTTCGTCACGGAAGGAACGCCTGCGATTTCCCCTTCGTTTCGGAACCGAAGTTCGATCAATGCCCCGAGGTCGTTGCGGGTGTGAGCTCGACCTTGATCAGACGATTTTCAGGCCCTCATCAAGATGCAATCTATTTGTGCGACAGGCAACGACTGAATTCTCTCACGGCCCGCGGGGAAAGGACGGACTTCCGAAAATTTTCTGCTCGAGGCAGAAGTTTGAGGCGATCTGCTTGTTTCGGGGCCCCCCTTGATAAGATTTCCAGGGAACTGGCCGTCAAATTTATTTCTTCATGCCTGACTCGATTTTTTTTTGCCGAATAAAAATATTTTCTAGCAGTTTATCGTGACTGAATAAAGTATAGATGCTCAGTATAGGACCCCGTGTTCTATATACGTAATTGGCTCTCCAATATTGCTCAGATGCCGTGATGATGGATTTTGTACTACGCTTTTTTACGCAAAATTTGATAGAATTTATGTCAGCTAAGGCTGTATCTAAAAAATTTCAAGAGGTTATTTCATTCTGGAAAATGTCCGAATGTTCGGTTCCCAGTATATTTTTCAACTGATCCGTTCATGTTGGTGAAATGTTTGCGCGGAATTTCCACCGAATTCACCAGATGCTGTAGCTTACCCGAAACATTTTCATGAAGTGACACGTTTTTAAAAGTGGCACGTTTGTTTTTGACAGTAAATCCCAAGTAAGGTCACAAAAATAGTTCAGAACTATAAACGGGAATACCGAATGAAGTGAAAGCGACATTTCAAGGAAGCATAAATCCGCAGAAACATTCTCCAGACTAGTTTTTCTGTAATCTTGAAGGTTCTTCAAATCAGTAAAATCCGCAGTTACTGTATTTTCTAATTAGAAACGCGTTCTTACATTTTTCGAGCCTAGAAGCCAAGCAAATGCAACTAGTTCAATTTCATAAAATCTGCATATCCATCCTTATTAGAAGAATTTTTTTGAAGACGCATATTTTTAAAACGTCTGACCATTTTATTCATAAATTTAAAATAATTCCTGTAAGTAAACAGCTTTTGCGAGAAAAGCGAGACCTTCCCTTTGACCGTTGGCACAGTGTTGCCACCAGATTTTGATCAATTATGGAAGCAAGCTACACATTTATATTCAAGTTACGTTCAACTGTTGTACATCCGAAATTTTGCCAGAAAATTAATTTTGTATCCATTCGTTAACGTCGCCATTCACGGATTTAATTGACTGAAGAGTAATATTTCTTCCTTCGACACGTACAAAGGGCAACATTAAATATATTTTTAGCACCGGGAGGCAGGGAATTGCTCATTTTCTCTCTGTTCCACAAAATGTACCTTTGAATTTACAGCGTCCTACTCCAAGTACTCACGCAAGGACAAAATTCCGATTCCTCCAGATATATCAAGCCTCACACAGCCAGACATGGATTCATGATTTCCCTGCTGGTGATCGATCACTGCATGTAGCCATGTACTAAAGAGAATTAAGTTGTACTTTCGTTGAATGAAGAACAACGAGGAGCAAATCAATAATTTAATACAAACACAAAAGAAAAAATGGATGCCGCCAGGTTTCAGAGGCTAGGGACTGTAATTGCTGTTGTGGAACGTAAGAGGCCAGCCAGGTTCGTTAAAGCAGATGTCACCGACAGTGCCAGGTCATGGTCACTGACGGAAGTACAGGTTTTCCAGGTGGACGACAGGAATAGCTAATCTATCCGAGCCCTTATGGGGATTCCTTGCACGGCTGAAGCTCCGCAGATGATTATCACCTTTGCCAAAACAATTTTGCCCTGCAATGCTTTTGCCAGAACTTAATGGAGCAGCCTGGTGCTTACAGAGCCGTTGCTTTATTGAATTTGCAATTACTGTATAAAGGAAATGTGAGGCTCATTAATGAATTTACGTCATCATACAAAGTACAGTAAATTTAGTAGAATGTTTCGTTTTTAGCGTGAATTTCAAAAAAGGGCTGCTGCTCATCAGGTCAAAGCTAATTCTCTAAGGTTATCTTTTTTTTGCATAGTTTTTTAATACTTAAATCTTATTGAAAAACCACTTCACTTTGACGATTTCGTACGGATAATTCTTTGGTCAAAAAAATTTCAATCATTCTTCGACGGATTCACCTCTAAAAATCGAATTTCATGGGGATTTTTGATGAATACACAGAACTGTCATTCAATTTCCTCTCCGGTCAGAAAATATGCATCTCGTCTTACTGCTTCCGAGTACTGTAGATACATGGAACATACACCTGACGAAAGATTACAGTTTAAATTTCTTAATTCGGTCTTGCAATTAAAGAGCGCATCGCTGCGAAGAATTCAGTAGGAGGGTTTTTATGTAAAAAGAAATGTTGGGTCCAATGTTTCAAATCTCATCTGTCAGAATATGCTTTGCAAATTTCCTGAGGCTTTTCAGCCTCGTCTTCGTCGTGATTCCCAGAAAGGAAATTTGAATGGTTTACCGTATGTTTTTGACTGTGTACAGATATGAACTTACGTGTCTCCACAGAATATATCGATTTGAACTAGAAAATAAGTTTTTAATACTTCCAGTAAAAAATTAATAATTTTGAGAGCATGTCGTTGATTGAGAGCGTGTTTCACTGCTGTGAGAATTTGATGTACGGTATTTTAGGATGCACTTTTTTCACTCAAAATTACCACAAATAAAGGACGTCTCAAAGCGAACAATAAGTTGATCAACTCGGCCGTAGATCAAACTTCCGGATTTCTTTTTCAGGTTTTTCTCTCGTGGAAGTCCACTCATTGATTTATTCCGAGTTGGGAAATGATACCGTGGATTCTATGCACATCATCGGAAGTCACGATGGTACTCACACCAGCAGCATGCCATTCAAACACTCTGAGGGCTGCACGACAGTATCGTCAGTGGGGCAACCCTGACATATGCAACACGTCACGGCATCAAGTCCGGAAGTGAGAAGATCCGCTGCAGTCATAATCCGGAAGGCAGGCTCGTACTGTTCGCTCCAAAATCGATGTTCGGAATCCATCGCAACAATCCCTGGATCGCGTGAGCCTGGATCACCTGGTAACTCCTGGGATATATTCATGAAAAACGTCCATTGCCTTTCGTGAATTATTTATGACCAGACACAAAAAAAAAACACAAGAAAACAGGATGAGAAATAAGAAAGAGATGCTCTAGCGGTCTAGCCCAACCAATTAGAGAATTATTTTTGAACCAGCATTGCATGTTGGTTGAAAAGGCCACCTTTCCCAAAAGATAAGACGTTGAAATTGAACAAACCCTCGAACACCGTTATATAAATATAACCTGTCCTTCAAAACAGCCCTGTTAAGTTTTTTCACGTTGGTTTTGAGAAAAGATTTTTCTATTTCATTTGTAGCAATAATTGCCTCGAAATAAAAATTGATCCCATGAATGCTCTCTGTCATCTGAGATTCCGAGGAACAATACGATCAACCTCTGAAACATTCATGGTTTGTTTTAATCTTACTGCATGGATTTTCTAGTTACATGCCCTTATAATAATTCACGCTTGATTTTGGGTATAATTGATAAATTTATAATCGTCTTGCTTATCCTGGAGAACATTTTAGGAAGGTCTGAGGGCTCTATCCAGACCTTCCTTCAAAACCGTGTCTTCCAGAGAAGAAATCAATGCTTCTTACATTACACGTGATTAGTCCTGAACATATTTTGTGACTTGTTTTGAATCGAACACATTTTGCATTCCGTGCCTAAAAATGTAGAAAATTTTCTGACGTAACTTTCCTCCGGTTACGTCAGCAATTCCCTTGAATTCACTAGTTATTAAGGAACTTTAAAAACTATGAAAAACCTACGCATGGCACAAAAATAGATGAAGCACGAAACAAGAGCAATGCCCTTTTTTTCTGTCAAATGACTGGAATTCGAATATGGCTCATGGCTTGTACGCGTTTTCTGCTGCATCTGGAGTTTTATTTTATTTTTTTATGAAGCCCGATTGTTCAAAGTTGATCTATTATAGAAGTTGGTCAATACTTTAAATCTGGAATTGCACACCTAAGTGAATTGCTTCGTGTTGACATGAGATAGCAGAGTAAATACGGAAACTCCAAGTGAAGAAATCCTTGGTTGATTTGTACCTTGCGATAGCGAGCCGGAACGACTCTGCACGAGTAGCAGTACCTGCAAGACACGATGTAAACGGAAGGTACATGAAAGATGTCAATAAATAATGCGTTTTCCTGGGACAATATTGGCGAAACTGACACGCGGAAATCAACACGAAATAATCGTACAGATTCATCAGTCGAACGTTTTTTGCAATGAGAAAACATGGCATTATGATTAGACAAAGCAAACTATGCGCGTCTGACGACGTAATCGATATTAATTTCGATGCTTCGTTCAGATCTTTAACTCACTTTATTACAGATTACGTTATTTTGAAGTTCAGCATGGAACCCAAGAGTACGATTGGCTGATTTTTAGTTTGAGTGATCGACTTTTCTATAGTTTCATTTTTATGAAAAACAATTTAAACTCGATTTGCGTCATGTTTCGGAAAAATTTCACCAGTGATCATATTGCGGTTAGACTAACTACACAAGACAACTTTTACACAGAATTTCTGTAAAAAAATTTAACGGTTCATTTTGAAAAAGTTCAATTCTTAAAGAAAATATGTTTTCAAAACGAAGATATCGCTTCTATGCGTGATTTTTAAAGTAATCTGGATGTCGTCAACAAAAGATTTCACCTGTAACGTAAATAAATTTTGCGTAGGACATAAACTTTGCCTTGACAGATAGTTTTGGTCCGCGAATAAGTTTGAATCGCTCGAATCATAGTCAGGATGACTCTGGAAATTTCATTTCTAGGTTTGGAATAATTGCAATAATTTATCATGAAATATTGTGCACGCAAATCTGTTCCCAGACTTATGCAAATACTTCCGTCCATCATCGACAAGTAATTCTGAAAAGCGAGGAACATATGACGAGAAAGCTTCAGCATTGCGAAAAAATATACAGCATAGCCTTAGTGTCTTAAAAATGAACTTTGTATTTTTGACAGAGGAGCATTCGATAAATTGTGAGACGTCCAAAAACATAAAATTTTAGATTGCAACCAGCTTAATAACTTTGTGTCTCCACACTATAGTTGCGAGGAACCGAATTCCGAAGACAAATTTAATATACAATCCTCGTTCAACCTTCAAATAAAAACGACCATGAACCTGCCACTCCGCCTCGTACGAATTTCAGGTTCCGAAATATTTCAAACTGGACAAGTGCTCTGAACCCAATTACTGTACAGTATATGTGTCTTTCATCCAGCACATTCCTCGCGGCGTCTTCGCACTCATTCATCCTCAAGCAAAGAAGTCACGCAAGAACATATCCCCTCTCCCATATATACCGGAAACTGATACATTCAACGTATAAATCAATCAACGAAAGAAGAAGAGGTCGTATGTCGCCGTTGCGAGGCACTGCAAATTGAACCACTGAAACCCATTGTCCGCGTCGCCTGGTTCGCATGCGGCGAGGTCGTGAGCAGGTAGGCGAGTGCTGAGTCCGATCCGACAGCCGGCAGCAGAAAATTGCAGGCGGCGATCATAAAAGCCACGGACCCGCAACTAAAAACCTCCACCGTTCTTGCTGTTATGTGCGAGTCCTCTTTTCTGCTTCGTATAAACCCCGGGGGGGGGGGGGGGAGGAGAAAAATTCGTGCTGCGCAGAAAGAAAATAGAGAAGAAATTGCGATCAACAGGCCTCATTTGGGCCGGACCGTAAATCCTGGTTGGGAGCCAATGGTGGGTTCTACGTTAAGTTACAAGCCCAATTAGTCATCGCACTACAACGGGAAGAGACCTCCGTGGGAACAAAATTGATAATGTTGAATAAATTTAAATGCGTAATCTCCCAATACAAAAACTCCCAATAACGTCTGACTGAAATCCGAAAATATGAATTTATATCGCAACATGGATAGTAATTTGGAGAGACGACATTGAACAGTCTTGTGCTTGAAATTGAATAGAGTATACTCTACTGTATTTTGATCTCAATGGAAGCTTCGGGATTAAAATGTAATTGATGCCACGTTGACGTGACACATTTCTCACAACTGAAAGCACCGAAATTTGGATATTTAAAGATAATAAGATTTTTTAAAGCAAGAATAAAAATAGAGAAATATTTCCGCATTGCTGGACCTATCGATTGGCCATGTTGATTATCATAAACTCCTGTTTGTTTTACTGAGAGAAACGCAAAGTACAGTATTATAAGAAGACAAAATCAATCTCAGTCCAATCTCTAAAAAATGTTTTCATCAAATTTGTTGATAATTTTTAAAACTCAACACGTTGTATAATTATGTTGCTAGTTCCTGTGGAACTTGAATATGAATCCACTATGCAAAGCTTTGAAAAAAATCTCATCTGAGAAGATTTTAAAATTGCTGGTGATAATTTCTGCATGTTTTCCAGACACATTACTCCTCATTCTCGAATCAAGAAATAATTTTGAGAAACCCCCAGGAACGAAATAATGCGTCGAGACTAATGACGAGACGCATCATTTGCCCAACGATGCATAAAAATGTTCGACATTAGCATACGAAGGAAGTCAGCTTATCCCTTGAACTTATTGTCCCAAAATAGCTGAAATAAGTTCTGCGTACGAAAAATGGCACACAAAAATTGAGACGTGCTGACTTATTAGAACTCCATGTACTACGACGAACCCGTCTTCAACATTTTATTAGTGAGAAAGCCCATATCACCGCTCCTTGAAGTGTTACTTTTTTTTAGTACATTCAAATACCATCAAAGCTATGAGTTCCAAGAGCTAAAAAAAAATCCGGCATCCACGACATATGATCTATGGCTGCTTGACGATCAACGTTCAGTACTTTTCCTGGTACATATTTTAGCAATTCTTGACAATATAAGAACTATAGCCAAGGAACATATTTCAATGATAAATGAGGAGTGACATCCGATTAGTACTGTGCTCATGTACATAAATCAAGAACACCCAGAAGAATCGGTGGAATCTCTCATTGATGTTATAACTAAGGAAGCCGAATATAACTGCTAACTAAAAATGGGTCATTTACACCGTTAGATATCAAGTAGCTTTTAATTTAAATGCAGCAGTAATAGTGGTATAAGCCTACATATTAATCTATTTTTATTGTTTGCTCATTCGATGAATTAAAACACCATACCCAGAGGTTTTTTTCGGGCGTCACTACGCAAAGCTTCTCAAGTTGCTTACCTAAAGCCCTTTTTCATCGTGGGCCCGTAATTGCCCGCTGTAACTGTAGCCTTATACCCTGGTTGTCTCAATATAAGTCATGCGCATTTTCCTTCGTCGGAACCAGGAAAAAACAGGTTGTTTGAAGCTTATAGCTTTGACCAGCCCCGTAATCCATCTTGATGATCAATGCTGGAGCTTGGCGGAACGCATACTCTATGGTTCCGCCACGCTGCAATATTTTCCGCATAAATGGCAAACTTCGGCTGCTTTCTGAACATGGTCATTCCCCGTTGCGTTTCTTGACATTTACGGCGCAAGTAGACAGTGCACAGCAAGATCGAAGCTCGAATTTCAGACCTGCTTCTATATCATTGAGATGCTCCCGGATGATTTTCAAAATAGCTGATTTTCTGATCAAGCAGTTATTCAGATAAAGTATTTTTACTCGTGTATTCAGGGCATGCATAATAAAGCTTCAACCATTGGTCCACGTACCAAAACAGTTGAAAAAGAGTTGTCGCAATAAACCTTTATTTCCTTGTGACGGCAGCATGAATGAGGCGATTGGGAAAATTATTTTATGCCAGGAATAATTTGGTAACTGAAGAAAGAACGAATTCAAGCGAGAAGATCGGTGGAGCAATTCAGCTACTATACATTACATGACACGTCGCTGACAATATGGAAAATACTTTTTTGTTTTTCCTAGAATCGCTGGATCCACAATTTCCGCCTGCTGTCTGAAAATTTATGGAAATTTGCATGCCACTCATGCATTGCCAAAGATGAAGTCCTAAAAATTCCTAAACAGTTATTATTGTATTTGCGGCGTTTATTCGCGACTTTCCGGCCATTTACGTTGCGTTTCTTGACATTTACGGCGCAAGTAGACAGTGCACAGCAAGATCGAAGCTCGAATTTCAGACCTGCTTCTATATCATTGAGATGCTCCCGGATGATTTTCAAAATAGCTGATTTTCTGATAGTATGGATCAAGCAGTTATTCAGATAAAGTATTTTTACTCGTGTATTCAGGGCATGCATAATAAAGCTTCAACCATTGGTCCACGTACCAAAGCAGTTGTGCAAAAGAGTTGTCGCAATAAACCTTTATTTCCTAGTGACGGCAGCATGAATGAGGCGATTGGGCAAATTATTTTATGCCAGGAATAAGTTGGTAACTGAAGAAAGAACGAATTCAAGCGAGAAGATCGGTGGAGCAATTCAGCTACTATGCATTACATGACACGTCGCTGACAATATGGAAAATACTTTTTTGTTTTTCCTAGAATCGCTGGATCCACAATTCGGCGGACGACAGACTTTTAAATACCTTTAAACGTACGGTGAGTACGTAACGGTTTCTACTTCAGGATTTTTAAGGATTTGTCAATAATAACATAAACGCCGCAAATAAGCGCTGAAAGGCCGGTAAACACTTCCCGGAATCCACTTCATCGTTTCTCTCGTGAAAATAGATCGTTATATAGGGAGCTATTTTCCTTCCCTCCGATACAAAACATTTAAAATAATATATTTCTATGACGAGGAAATACACCGAAAAATCCAGAACGTGCAATTTATGCTGTGATGTAGCCATGATAAATTTTAGCACCTCTGAGAGTATACCAATTATGGTACCTCTGATGAGACTAAGAAAAGCATTAGGGTTATAAGTACATGTACTGTAATTAGGAAGATATGACATTTATGCTGTGATGTAGCCATGATAAATTTTAGCACCTCTGAGAGTATACCAATTATGGTACCTCTGATGAGACTAAGAAAAGCATTAGGGTTATAAGTACATGTACTGTAATTAGGAAGATATGACTATATTCTATTTAAATTTATATCCGAACATGGAAACAGACGAAAGTGCAGCACCTGGAAGAATTTGCAGGAACATGACAGCAATTGCTGTTCAAAAATCCACGGGAGTAGAATCATGACTTTATTATGGCATCCGGCAGTAAAATTCATTCACTTTTTCACTTCAGATCTTTTCCAAGTGCTTTGAAGGATAATGGTTAGGAATTTAGTAAGGATACCAATTCCTAACCAGATTACAAAATTAGTCTCTATTGCATACTGTCAAAATGAAGAATGACTGACTGAAGCCCATTAAAACCAGTGGTTTCTAACAAAATAAAAATGAAAGAATCAACAACAAAAAGGACTGAGTTGAATAAGTTGGAGTGAATTGTGTCACATACTTAAGAAATAGGACATTTTCATGAAAACCACGTGGGACGTGTGGTAAAGCTTAAAACGCCTAAATAAGACATTGGAAAAAACTCTTTGTTTTATGACAATATCCTTTGTTTTCGCAACTTATGCTAAGAACTTCTTCGTAGGAGTAGTGTCCAATGTTTTCTGTGGAAGAAATGATAATTATATTGATTTGCATATTTCCATCCATCGCTTATATAGCCGTGCAGTTTAAGTAATAATATTGTTGAAAGGGAAATTCCATTTGTCTTTTTATGATTTTGGCGCTTACTTGTTTTCTCAATGTTTGATTAAACTACTGCAATTGACGCATCCTCCGATTATATCGCCTCTCTGCTGTGTATAATAATTAAATAGGTAGGTTTACTTCTCTCAAAATTGAATAAACCATTGAAAATTGAAACTTGGTAGTCCACAATAATGACCAAAAGAGTTTCTACTAGGATTCGACCATCACTAAATTGCAAAGTATATCCGTGAAGAACTTCACGAAAAACTAAAATGTTTCTGAGATTCAACTTTTTAGTGTTTTCTGTCCACCGATATATACTTGATTTTCCATTTACTGAAAGGGCACAAAATGCTTTCAACATCGGACGCGGGCAACGCGAACTGGATAACGTTTTCAATAAATTGCTCTAGCAATATAATACCTTCTTTGAAGAATTTTCAGTTGAAGAAAAAAGTTGTTGTCCTTTCTGAAGCATTGAAAGAAAGGCTCCCTGCTGTGCATCAACAAACAACAATTTCTTTAGAAAAAACTTTCTATAGTGACGCGTTGGTGGGGCTGAAAACTACTTACGCGCCCTTTGATGTCCGTAATCATGCCGCAAATTTTTAATTACCAGAGAGATTTGGGGAATTCCATCTTGTTTTCCTTTACTATACTTGCATCCGTTGCAACTCTAAAAAGTAGTCAATCTATTTCGAATCTTTTAATGCGAAGGGGCAACCGCTTATAAAGAACGAATAATCTTATGGATAACGAAAATTATTTATTGACAAAAGCTCAATACCTCATGGGGTTCAAACCCCCGGGTTTCGCAGATATCAGTACGTGTTGAAATATTACGAACGCAATAAATTCCTAGTCTAATTTATATCCAAAGTTCTGAAGAA